TCTTCTCTTCTTCTTTCTTTCTTCTTCTTCTGATTTTCTGATTGAAAAAAAAAATTAAAACAACGAATCGACGTCGTTTTTCAATTCGGGGGATTCGAGCTCCTTGATTTCTAGCTACCAATCACTACTGTACTTCAAAATAGAACAAATTTTTGTTTGAAGAGTTCAATAAGGGCTTGTTTGGTAACGTTTACGTTTTTAGTTTATATTTACAAAAATTTTATAAACTGTTTTTTGTTTATTTTTAGAAAAACATAAACTAAAAACGCGTTTAGTAATTGACAAAATGTTTAAAAATATAAAAAAAGAGTGAGAAATGGCAAGTGGCGGTGGAAGACAGTGGTGGAAAGTGGTGATGGTGGGTGGTAGGTAGCGGGTGGTGGTTGGTGGGTGGGTGATAGTGGCGGGTGGTGGGTGGTAGCGAGTGGGTGGTGGTGGTGGTGGCGGGTGGTAGTGGCAGGTGGATGGCGGATGGCGGATGGCGGCAGGTGGTGGTGGGTGGGTAGTGGTGGCTGGTAGGTGGCAGGTGGTGGTGGTGGTTGGTGGGTGGGTGACGGTGACAGGTGGTGGTAGTGGTAGTGGTTGGCGGGTGGTAGTGGCAGGTGGCGGGTGGTGGGTGGTGGTGGCAAGTGGGTGGGTGGGTGGTGAGTGGTGGTGGGTGTGGGTGCGGGCAGGTGGCAGGGTGGCTAGGGCTAGTGGCGGTCGGTGGGTGCGTGGCTGGTGGTGGCAAGTGGGTGGTTGAGTGGGTAGCGGGTAGGTAGCAGGGGTGGTGGCGGCGGTGGATGGTAGTGGCGGTGGTGGTGGTGGCGAGTGTGGATGACAGGTAGGTGGTGCGTGGGTGGTGGAAAATGGTGGCGGGTGGTGGTGGCTGGTGGGTGATGAGTGGTGGTGGCAGGTGGGGATGGGAGGTGGGTGGTGGGTGGTGGTGGCGGAAGACGGTGGTGGAAAATGGTGGCAGGTGGTGGCTAGTGTTAGGTGGTTAAAAAAAAAAAAAACTCAAAATTCAAAACGAAAACACATTTTTTGAGTTTACATCTTTTGGCCAAATTTATAAACTGAGACCACTGATTTATAAATCAAAAATTTACCAAACAGGTTTTTATTTGAATTTTTAAAAAATTTATAAATATAATTAAAAAATTAAAAACGTAAGTGTTATCAAACGGCACCTAAATATTTCAAAAACAATTTAGTTTCACATAAACGTCAAAAACTAGTTTAGCATTTAGTATAAAGCAAATTTAGAAAAGTGATGCAAATTTAGAACAGGATCTATTAGATTAGTCTCACATAAACGTCAAATTGGACAATTAACTTTTAGGGTTGGTTTGGCAAGTTTCAAAAAAGTCAAAAAGTTATTATTTTATTTAAGTCTTATCATCTTATTTAAGTCACATCACCTCTCTAATACATCACTTCAAACTCAATCCAAATCCAACCTATATTTTATAAAAAGTCAAAAACTATACAAACTTTATTTAAATCATCACAAACAAGTATTTATTGTATTGGTAATCTATATATTACATAAGAAAATTGGGATTTCTACCCACAAACTTTATGGGAGTTTCAATATCTCAATCTTAATTTTTTAATTTTTTAATTTTTTTAAAAAAATCTCAGCATTTTTTGACTTCTCCCAACCCACAAACTTTTTTGACTTCTCCCATACTTATTACCGCACTATTTTCAACTTCTTCCATATACTATGATTAGTAATGAGATTGTTAAATTATTTTTATAAAAAATCTAAAAAAAATAATTTGTATATTAAAAAAATATGTAAAACAAATATAAATTCTTATTAAAAAATAATATGTTGCAATTGCGAAACAAAAAGAGAAAAAAAAATTACACTGCAAAAAATAATTTGTATATTAAAAAAATATCTAAAACAAATATAAATTTTTATTAAAAAATAACAGGTTGTAATTTTTATATCACTTTTCAATTAAGTGAATATATATATATATATATATATTAATTACACAATGCATTTTATTAAAATCTAAAAAAATAATTTGTAAAAAAATATCTAAAACAAATATAAATTTTTATTAAAAAATAACAGGTTGCAATTGCCAAAAAAAAATACACTGTAAAAAATAATTTATATATTAAAAAAATATCTAAAACAAATAGAAATTCTTATTAAATTCATTAATAATGCTCAAAATATGTGCTAAGCATTTGTGTAAAGGCTTGACACGTGTCTACTATCAAATTATCAAGTGAATATAGATGAAACCAAAGAACTCAGCTTTAATGGCTAACAAATATTAGAAATCCGATTATTGAAGCCTAATAACTATTAATTAATAAAATTCAGCAATTGAAAGATCTCAAACCACATCTCTTTGTCTTCTCAAATGTCTTCCTTTTTTTGTTCATGTATGCATGCTAATATTGATAGAGAATTTGATATGTGGAAGAGTGAGAGACATTAAATTATATATTGAGTTATATAATTGTTGGGATGAAACATAAAAGTTGTCTTCCTCTTCTATGGTGATTTATCTGGTTATAATTCTAATTAAAACGTCTGGTGTGCTTCTACACATTATTAAATGTTACTTTCATTTTTCTTAAATACTTTATCTCACAATTATTTCTGTTTTGTTATGAAATTTATTACATTTGTGCTCGCTAAAACTATTAGATGAACCTAATGCAAGAAGTGTAAATTATTTCAATATCATTCTCAGGATTAGAAGTACAAAAAGCATACACAAAAAAGTATATGAATACACAAGATTTTACAAAATCTGTTTTCAAGTCTCACTTCTTGAAAATCTTTATAATTTATTTATTTTATTTTTTTGTATTATATTTTATGTTTAGTTTCTGTATTTTTTTTATATATAGTTTTCTTTGTTTTTTTTTAAATTTATTTTTAAAAATTAATAAATAAATACATAAATCATTTTCTATTTCAAACAATTTCATTTTTGTTTTTATTTTTTATTTTTTCTTAAAGTAGTTTTAGTTTTGGACAATTACTTTTTTTTTTCTTCTATATATTGTAATTCTTCTATATATTGTAATTTTTTACATTTTAAATACATGATATTTTTACTAATACATTCAGAGATGCACTATGAACGAAATATCATGCAAAAATCAAGCAAGAAGAAAAATAATAAAATAATATGATGAATGTGGAGTAAAGATCAAAGATCAAAACTCCCAAAACAAACAACAAACAAACAAGCAAGTAGAATAAAATGTATAACAATAGACATTTAAAAATTTGCAACAAAATTTATAACTTTCTTTTTTGTTAAGAAAATTATATTTGATACTAACTAAATAAAATGCTTTTAAAATTGTTTTTTGTTATAAAAAATCTGAAATTAAAACTATAATAAATTTGTGTAAGCATAATTGCTAACCACATTTTTTTACTTAATGTATAATATTTTATATTGGCTACCTATTTCAAGCTTATTTTTTTAAGTATTTATGTAGAAGTAAAAAAATGTTGTTAGAAATAAATTTTTTCTTAATTTAGTTATAAATTTTGCCAGTACATTATTTTTAAATTTTGAATAAAAAGAAACATAAATAATTGATTGAAGATATGCTGCATTTATTTTATTCTTTTTTCTGTGTGTGAAAAATAAAATAAAATAAAAATCACAATTCACAATTCACATATATACAGATAATTATAAACACACATCGGGCATAGTATGGGTGAAACATTAATTATTGATTAATGAAAAGCAATGCTAAATTGTAAAAGTAGTTTTGAATCTAACATGCTACACTTAAATAATTACAAAGAATTAGTTACTTTGAAAATAACATTAAGCATGAGTTTCACAGGTGAGAGAATAGAATCAAGTACCTCCTCAGTTCACTTACACTGTGTTTGGTTTAGAATTTGGGAAGAGATTTAGAAAAGAAAAAGAAAAAAGTGTGTGAAATTAAGTGATATATAAGTATATTTTATTCACATTTTGCCTTACTTTTCTTTTTCCCTTTCTAAATCATTCCTCAAATCTCTCAATCAAATATAGCATTAGTCGATCAGATGGTCTAGTCCAGTCTATGAAGTCTATTATATGAGTTTTATTTTGACAATTTTTTGGTTCATTTATCAGTTTTTTGTGTAAATCATTCAAAAATAATAATGACAATAATTAAATTAATTTGATAACTATATTTTATTTACTAAGTGCACAAAATTTAAAATTATATATTTTTAAAATTATATTTATCATTATTGTTTAAAGATAAAGATAATAAAATTACATGATTACCATGGGTTGTGAATGTAATCAATTGACCACCTGATTTATATATCATCTTTGCTTGATGTAATAATGGTATAAATTATAATGCTTAAAAAATGTTAGTGGGACTTGTATTTTATCAACTCGGGGACAACAATTTAACGTGAAATAATAGTGAAGATGAACAGACAGTAGTACAATCCTGTGCTGGGACCATTTTTTCTTAGCAAAATATAATATCATCATAAACATAATATTGGTCTGTTAGTGCTTACGATTAGTTAATTTTGAGAGAGGTATCTAAAAACAAAGTGGACCTATTTGTTAGAGTAAATTATATTAATTTTTCTTAAGATTTGAAAAAAATGTATTAAATTTTATAATTTTGATGTAATTATATTAATTTTTCTTTTAGTAATATTAAAATGACCGAATGCAGATGATATACAAAAATAAATAAAATAAAATAAAAATTTTAATATAAAAAAGACGATATTATTATTTTCTTTATCTATACAACTAACGAATTTATGATGAGACCAAAAATTAACTGTTATGTTAATAAAAAAAAATAAATTAATTAAATATAATTATGTCAAATTAAAAATATTTATTATATTTTTTTTTAAACATATGAATTAAAGCAAACTCTTATATAAAGACAAATAATAATTGGCAGCCACGTCGGAGCAAAGACTGAGAATAGGACACATGGGACCCATCTCAGCTGGCCACCTTCAAAAGCCTCACCCTTCTTCTCCCATCCTCCCCACCTACTGCAGTCCCACCACTCCTCTCTCTCTCTCTCTCTCTCTCTAGGAGACATCAAGCAACAGAATCCTTGTGCAAACTTCAAAAGAAGAGATTATCAGAGCCCATCAATGGGTATGTCTTCTACACACATATACATATATATATATATATATATATCAAAGTGGTGTTCCCTCTGATTTTCTTTTCCTAGATTTGGTTTGATTAGATTGGGAAATGAGTGATATATGAATTTTCAATTATTGTTGGTGGAAACAAATTTGTTGCCTTATGTTCAATCATCTACTTATATTTCATTTATGTTTTTGATTAGGGTATTAAGGAGAATTATTGGGTTGTGATTTCCTAATTTATTTTCTTGCAGCCTTCACTCCTCATTCACAATAATTTTGTCATTGAATTCTATGTATTTCAAAATTTTCATTATTTATACTATATTATAAAACAAAACATTATATTTCTATTGGTATTGATACAAATATGAGGTCGTTTTAGTGTTTCACAAAAATAAAATTGTGTAACACCAATTCTTGTATCGAAACTATCCTAATATAATATATTTTTTTCAATTATATACGGTATCTAAAATGTAAGAAAATCACATTTTAAAAGAATTCATTTTAACACTTTCTCTAAACCATCTCTCCCACTATTCGATTTCGCACATGCATAATATGTGCATAGTCGCTCTTGTACATATATATCGAGAAAAATATTTAGTCAGAATTATTTTTTGTTGCTTTGGACAATTTTTACTAACTTAGAAGATAGCAGAACTAGCAGAACTAGCCATGATCCATAAATTTGAGTGATAGATACTATAACAATAATTTTAGTATATTCTCTTATTTGTTTCCCTTCCTTGATGGGCAGGCCGGCAAACCACAACTGTCTCTTTTATGCTTTAAACAATTCCTTCCTTTGAAAGATATATAAGAAACAAACACACCCCACTTTAAAGTATTATTATAGTTGTACTTTGCATTTCTCTAAACTAGTTTTACAACAACCAAGCTAGCTAGATAGTCTAATTTTTCATTTATACAAAAACTGGTTTTTAAAATATTTAGAAAATTACTTTAAAGTATTTTCTGAAAACAATAAAGAGTCTTTTTGAAAACTTGATCGAAAGTTTTTTGGAAAGAGATTGTCAAGAAAGTTTTTGTATTAGTTTTTGCATTTTATTGTTTTTGAGAACCAGAAAAACGCAAACGCTCCCTAAAACTTTCCATCAAAAAATTCCATTGATGGCTTCAAATATTCTTTTCCTTTTCTAATATTGTTTGGATTTGTAGAGTGATTTTCGAGGGAAAGAAAAATTCATTCACTTTTTTATTTTCTTCCACAAATCGCTCTAGAAATTTAAAATTGGATTTATTAATCACAACACAGTCTTTTTGGCTTGGCTTTGTTGTTTTTATGTTATCTTCTCCTCAAGTCCAATGCTAATCTTGCTTAAATTGATAACTTAGACGTAAGGTCATTGTTAAATTATTCTTGAATTATGATTTTGATTATATGTCTTGTCTATGGAATTATCAAGTTTTTAGTAAGGTTGTGCCGCCCAAGATTTTGGAATGGAGGGGTGAGTACATCACATACCCCACCTACTTGGTAGCTTACTATATGTCTGATTGCAAGAATAACCTACCACACATTACAGCTACGCTCTCAATCATTTTTATTATTTTTTTTTGAAAAATATTATACAAACAAAATAATAAATGTTTCAATTTTTTTTACTCATATGACTCCTATCACATTATTAATGGATTCTCATTCAGATTTGAAAATTATTTGATCACATTATTGAAATGAGTCTTGATTGTAGTATATATATATTGTTTGTATAGCATTTTTTTTAAAATAAATGTAAGTGTACATAGGATCAAACATAAAATAGAACATAAATGTCTGACAACGGATATGGAACATATAATATGAGACTCACATGTATAACATACTCTTTATGAGATATCTATCATCAATTATTTTTGTAATATGATTTTTTAAGAGATTCTGTTTGATCCCACCTACATATGATCTAAGGTTGGGTTGTCACAGCCCATTTATGGACTGTAATAAAAAGATTCTTTGTTGCCAATAATACTACTTAGTCACTAACCTGTAGTTATTAGATGGACAAACACAAGCATGTTGTATACTGAACAATTTTGAATTTCAATATGAACCAACCAATGACGGCACTATTATATTAGTCACTAACGTGTAGTTACTACATTAACACAACTATATTATGATGAACCAACCAATGACGGCACTATTATACAATTTATTATTATATTATTATTTTTTTTGTTCTACTCAACGAGGATTATTGACAGCTTGTAATCTATATTTAGGTTTCTTTTTAGTTTAAAAAATTCTGACCCATATAGTTCAATACGAATCTCGTTTTGATAATTTAAATTAGTTATTTTGTAAAGTTATTCTTACATATCATTCATGAAAAAAATTAAATCGATTTGATGATTGTAGTCTCTTTATTTTATCGCATTATTTTTTATTTTTTTTTTAAAATATAATTTATTTTAAAATATACACTTGTATTTCTTTTCTTTTCTTTTTTGAGATAAATATAGCAAAATGAATATTATAAGTATTAGATCAATTTATATAAAATAAAATAAAAATTATGTATGATAAACATGTAAAAAATTTTATATTATCAAAACAAAAACGAAATAAATCTCATAAATTTAGACAATACTCTATTTGTCCACTATAAAAGAACCTAGCCCTTTTTTTAAAGGGGTTAACTTTTTTGGTATTATATTTTATTTTATTTTTAATGAAAGTGAATTGTGATGGTGACAATATATAGGACTTTTTATTTTTAATGGGAACCGACCATGACGCAAGGATGAGTTTTGGTAAATTAGTTGAGGCTGGGGTGTACAGACAGAAGACCAAACCACCCCCTCCACTACCACATCAAAAGACCGTCCGTTGTATACCAACCACTAGATTTTCAGACCCTTCTTTCTCTTTTGTTTCATGCAAATGTCAATCACTTCACAAAATTATTGAAGACCGAGGGTTGGGACCTCCCTTTCTTTTCTTTTTTTTCTTTTTTTTTTAAATTTTATTTTGTGATATTATTATTTTTATTGATGTTGTGGTTGTTATAAGATCATATGTACGTTCGAGTTTCTTATATATAATTTGTTTTTGGATAAATTAGATTGAGCTCTTTTAACATTCAAAATATATTATAATAAATTCTATAAGCCTTCGTTTGACCTGTTAAATTTTTGGACAAATTACATATACACCCCTCGAGGTTTGGCTAAATTACAGATGCCCCCTGAGGTTTGAGAAATTACGAATTCCCCCCTGAATGCTATATTTGCATAAGAAATTAGGGGGTAATTTGTTATGAAATATAAATCTCAGGGGGCAAATTGTTATGAAAATACAAACCTCAGGGGGCGGGATGTAATTTCCGAAACCTCAGGGGTATCTGTAATTTAGCCAAACCTCGAGGGGTGTATATGTAATTTGTCCTAAATTTTTTTATTTTTTAGTTATTTTAGTCATAAAAAGATAAAATAATTTTTTTAGTTTAATAGGACAAAACATCACATCTAACCTATAATCATTTTATTTTTCTCTCACAAAAGTCAAAAAAAACTAAAAAACTTATCCAAACAAGACTTTTTAGTCCCAGACTAAAATAGCCAAAAAAATTAAAAAGTCAAAAAGCCTCAATTCACATCCCAAACGAACCCTAAGTTTAAGATGATTACATTAAATTCTCTTAAAATTTTAATTCACATATACAGTAAGATATTTTTTTTTCTTTATAATGTTTTTAGTCATATTGAAGAAAAATAATATTATGTCTTTTGTATTGAAATATATATTTTACGTTATATATATTTAGGATAAATTACAACACAATCTCTGAGATTTACTTAAATTACAAATTATCCCATGTGGTTCTGAAAATTACATTATACCCTTAAGGTTTCTAATTTCATAACAATTAGGTCATTTTATTAATAAATCATCAAGTTAATTAACAGTTTTTAATAATATTAAAATTTTATTTCAATTAATAATTCAGATAATTTTATTATGGTATAGGTGAACAGTTAGAAATTTCACTTTTTCAATTAATTTTGTTAAATAAAAAATTCTGACAGGGAGATATTTGTAATTTTTCAAATCACATGGGACAATTCATATTTTAAACAAATCTCAAGAGATATTTTTTGTAATTTATCCTTATATTTATATATTCACACTATTTGTATTAATTTGATGATTTTATCTAAATTAAAAGATAAATTAATGTAATTATGTTAAAACTCTATGTAATTTACCCTTTATTTGTTTACAAGTTCTTCTACCATAATTAATTGTGTAGTTTAATGTAATTCTTTTTATATTTAAACATAGGCCTATTTTGGAAAGATGATAAAAAGTGATTTTTTGACTTTTAATCAAGTTTTTAGTTTTTTTAGACAAATGATTTGGAAAGTTGGTAAAAAGTTACTTTTTTATTAATATTTGTTTATGATGTCAAATCATAATAAAATAACCAAACTATCCCTATTTAGTTTAAAATATTTATAATTTCACTCATGTGGCACATTTTGACCCATGAAGGATAGAATTGTAATTTTATTATTAACTAAAAACTAACTTCCCAAATGAAAAAAATACAAAAAAGTCAACTTTTAACTTTGCTACAAACAAAAAAAAGTGATTAAAAGCCAGCTTTTCAAAACAAACCATAGTATTCTACTAATAGTTTTCTCTTTTTAAAAAAAAATCAAATCAAACCAAACCAAACCAAACATCGAATTCGGATTCTATCCATTTTAAGTCGGAAAATAAAGATTATAATTACCTGATCAATGGTTATGAAATAGTTTTTTAATAAATCAATATTTAAGACTTTATGATAACGACAAAATAAGGGAGGGGGGAATGTGAATATGAATTTCCAGACAGTAGGTTTCTATTTATCACAGTAAGATGTGACCAATATTACCCCATATGCAGACATTCTTTACAGTTCCGAATCTATACGCCAACCATTGTCTCTTCTCTTCTCTTCCTCCAATTGCCCCCAAACAGACTATTTTAATAAATTATTTTAATTTTAGATTATTTTAATAAATTAAAATAATTGTATTTAAAAAGTTAGTTATATTTTTTTATAATTAGATGAGATGTTTGTAAGAAAAAATAAAATGATTATGAGTTTAATGTAATATTTTATTTCATTAATTATTTTAACTTATTTTATTTTTAAAAAACTATTTCAAATGATCTAAATAAATATATATTTTAACTTTTTATATAAAAAAAATATGCAAAATAAATAAATAAATAACTAATATAACCTAAATAAATATACTTATACAAATTATGTCAAACACTCTTATTTTAGAGTCGAGTTACAGGCCTCGAATATTGAGACACGAATTTGTTTTGAATTTGTTTAATTGGTCGTTGGGCCGATCATCCAGCAAATAGATTGACAGTTGCGATCGACAAGGTGACAATCACAATAGACAAATCCTTCACTCGATCAATTGGATAATCATCCGGCCTATCCTCCATTAATCACAAATTCACACCATTTACGCTTAAAACCCTCTAAGGCCTGAAACATTAATTAACCCTTATTTTAACCCCCAAAAATATCTTTTCCCAAACATTCCCAATATTCATTTACATTTTCCGCACTAAACTAGCACTTTCTGCTTAGCAGAATCTATTACTTTACACTGATTACTCTCTCTCTCTCTCTGATCTGACCTGACCCACTTTCTATTTCTCTCACTTGTCTGACACACTTTCTATTTTTCGTGACAGCAATGACCTCTAACCACCACCCGACTGACCTCGACACCGGCGCACATGACTCACTAGCCTCCTCGCCCCGCTCCGACCACCACTACCGTTCGATCAACGACGACAACATCACCCAGCCACGTGTACGCTTCATGTGCAGCTTCGGCGGCAAGATCCTTCCCCGGCCCCACGACAACCAGCTCCGCTATGTCGGCGGCGACACCCGCATCGTCGCCGTGAACCGCCACACCACCTTCTCATCTCTCCTCAACAAGCTCTCCAAACTCGCAGGTACAACCAATATTAGCATAAAGTACCAGCTCCCTAACGAAGATCTCGACGCCCTCATCACCGTCACTGCTGATGACGACGTCGAGAACATGATGGACGAATACGAACGATTCATCCAAAACAACGTGGTACACTCCAAAGCCTCTAGGCTCCGACTCTTCCTCTTCTCAAACGACGCCGTTTCGAGGACCAGTAGTATTAGTTCCCTCCTTGACGGCTCCGCTAAAAGAGAACACTGGTTCCTCGATGCCCTCAACGGCGGCGCGGGTCCCGGTTCGGGTCTGGAGCGTGGCCGATCCGAAGTGTCCTCAATTGTGTCTGAAGTCCCGGATTATCTTTTCGGGTTGGATAACTCGGATGAGATGATACCCAGAGAAACAAAATCGAAGACCCGACTGAATTTAGCCGACAATGTTTCGAATTCGGATCCTGGGTCTCCCGCTGCGGTTACTTCTTCCCCGTTTTGCTCGACCTCGTCGTCGCTGGCACCGTCTTGTGTGCCGTCAATCCCGGGTCTTCCGCCGGTCAAAACAAAGCCCGACAGCCCGGTTCCTGTTTTTGAATCAAAGGAGGTTCGGGTTGGGAGTTTTGCAGAGCCAACTGAACCAGTAGCTGTGCAACAACCCGGGTATGGAGGAAACCCGCAATGGCATTATGTTTCGGATCCTCATTACCAGGGCCCGACTTTACAGCACATTCCTGTTTATTATGTACCGGGCCGCGAGAATGTTCCGGTCCATCAGGTTCCGATTGGGGCACCTTATGTTCAACAATTCACAACACCACCGGGTCAGATACCAGTTGGGTTCCGTCAGATGGTACCGGGTATGGGTCAGGTCTACGGTGGTGGAGTGAGACCAGTGGCGACAATGGATCCTTATGAGATGTCGGGCAGAGTAGCACCCGATGGTGTGAATTACTATGGGGTTAGAAATGCTTATCCAGGTATGATGGTGTCGAGTGGGGAAGAAGTGCCGGTTAGCAGGTCGGAGGCAAAGGTGGAGCGGGTCTCCCACTCTTGATAATATGGCTGCTATCGTTATGTTATGCTATGGTATGCCTATTTGTTTTGTTTGGATATGAGTTTTGTGTGGTTGATGCTGAAAAACAGTTGTATTGTATTTGGTTTGTAATATAGTTGTCTTTGTATTGTGCTTCAATTCAGTGCTGTAAAAATAAAAATTAAAATTAAAAAAAATAATTAATAAATAAATAAACGGTGATGAAAATGTTAAATGGGTTTTTGAGTTTTGATAGAAGGAAAATGTAAATGGAAACATTATTTGGTTGTATGATAAATAGTGCTTTCTTTTGTGATATTTTTACAGATTTTTTTTTTTTATATATTAAATAAGGTTATTAGGAAATATCATCAATTTTCTATTAAATGAAAAGAATTATAAACTGCATAGACTCAAATTACATAAATTAATTGAGAAAATATAAAAATTTACTTATAAATCTCATCTTGAGAAATAGTGATTCGATTAGTCTTAAGAGTTTTTATATAAACCAATTAGTCCTATTGATTTTGAAAAAATAGATTTAATATATTATTTAAAAATTAAATTTACAGTTATACCCTTATTTCTATTATTATTTTTTATTTTTTATTTTTATGTATTAGAAGCCTATGATAATCAAATTTGTGATGAATTTTTATATGAGAATCTTTTTTTATTTGAAATGACTTGAGATATGAAATTCTTCAAACTTTCTAAAAGGATGTAAGATTGTTCAAATATTTCAAAAGGAACACAAAAATTCTTCAGTAAATTTTGAACAAATATATAATTTCAATCTATAACACTCCAATGTAACACTCAAACGTAATACTTAAATGTAGCACTCTAAACAAACTTCTTATTATACTTTTTCCAAGTGTAACATTCCAATTTAGTACTCTAAAAAAACTCTTTAGTATAACACTACAATGTAACGCACACAAAAATTTCTTAGTGTATTTTTTCTAAACGTAATATTCCAATGTAACAGTCCAAAAAAGATGTGGGATTCTTCAAACCATTCTAAAATTGTGTGAGATTCTTCAAACCATTCCAAAATGAGTACAAAAATTCCTTAGTAAGCTTTGAATAAATATATAATTTCAAACTGTGAGTATTATATTTGGAAAAAGTACACTAGGTAGTTTTTTAGTGTTTTTTTATGTGTATTACATTGGAGCATTACGTTTGAGATTACATTGATTGGAGTATTACATTTGATAGAAGTACACTAAAGAGTTTTTTGTGTGTTACATCAGCATGTGTTGTTTGAGAAACGTTCAGAGTGTTACGTTGTTACATTTGATAAAAGTACACTAAGGAGTTTTTTAATATATTACATTAGAGTGTTACGTTCTTTTTTGTAATGTAGGATTTGTTCCAGAATGAGGAAAAAATTCAAAACCTCTATAATGCGGATTGTCCAAATGTGTAATTTCACATTTAGAAAAACTCAATTTTATCCCTAAAAAATAAACCCAAACGTATAAGTGACTATCTTTTTGTGTAATTTCTACTTTAATGGAATCTTTGGATTTATAAGGAAAAAAAAAAGACTAAACAGTTCATAAAATTACATTTTAAGATTTATTGGTACTTCACCCGAGAAAATATCAAAAATTGAGAAACTATAAAATTTCATAATTTCTCCACATAAATTGTGAAAATTTAGGTAAATGAGAAAATTTTCATTTCCTTTTAACTTGCGAACTTTCACATTTTTTTATTTGCAAAATTTCATAGTTCTCTACCGTGAAAGTTATCTATTTCCCCCTCAAAATTTTATATTGAATATAGATATTACTTAATAGATCTACTAGAATATATTTGAAATATATGAATTTCATGGCAAACGGATGCATAGAAGGAAAGTAAGAAATTTTAAAGTTTTTTAAAAAATAAGTAAATAACTACTTGGCACATCATTTAAGTTGTTTACGCACATATCACATTTTAATAAGATTAGTACATTTGGATCAAATTGTGATGATGCATAGGACCTAATGGTTTAAGAATTATATATATATATATATATTTTTTTTTTGTGTCCAAAGTCTATTATATTTTAATGTTATGGGACTCGTAGAAAATTCTCCTTTTATAATATAATCAATGGAGAAAAAAGAAAAAAAAGAAAAGAAGGGGAAGTTACATCACACAAATGTGAGACCCAAACTGAAGTTCATTTTCGATAAGAGAACATTATCTACTAGGCCAACCGAATCAAATTCCTAGATTTCTTCATGTGTGTGTCCTAGTACTTGTAATGGCCTCTCATCTACTAGCTAGCTCTAGTTGCAGTACAGTGTTCCAATGAGTTTCTCATCATATTTTATTTCTCTTTCATATCTCTTCATATTTTTTTTGTGTGCCCTAATTTAGACCGTACTGATAATTCGAGCATTTATCTTGTAGGTGTCACTGTAAAGGTTATTCATGTCAAAAATTAGTTTCATTGAACAATTATAACCATAGGAATAAATCATATTTTGTTTTATAAAATAAATTATTTAAGTTTATAATCATATTTATTATTCATTTTTTAAAACAAAATATGATTTGTTTCTGTATTTATAGATGTCCGATGAAACTATTTTTTTGCATAGTTGACCTTTATTGCAAGACATTTAAGATAGACGGTTTGGATCATTATGCAAGTTTGGATTGAGGCTCACAAAAAAGGGATATGGAGAAGTGAAGGTACCAAACTCATCTCAATTTTTTTTTTTTTTTTAAAAAAAAAAAAAAACTATCAATTCAATAATACATGAACCAAAATTTTATATGATTTTCTGAGTAGATAGGAAAGTAATGAATACATGGGAGCTGTTACTCTATGTCTAATAGTAAAAAACTCTGATAAATTATTTATTTATAGCATTTTCCCTATTCTCTGCCTTGTAACCAAGATCATGTAACCCATCATGTCTTACATTTCATTTTGACCTTTTAAACTAGGGATAGGAAAGGGACTATCCACAATCAAACTTTGCAGTCTCAGGCCCAAACCCACCAACTTGAGGCAAAAGGCAAGGGTATGTTTGCCAACTTTGGAGATGAGTATTATATTGTATCCAAAAAAATTATTAATTGGATCCGCAAAAACATCACGTGTGGTGCACCTACACCATTTCTATTAGTTAGGCCCTCTACTGATAGGGCCGTATATGAATAATAAATAAGCCTATATTCTTCTGTTGGTTTGGAAGCGACTTTTTTTTAATGGCTTATAAATTTTTTAGCTAAAATCGAAAATGAACAAAAATTAAAGTGTTAGACAAACAATGTTGGTAATCAGTCAATTAAGAATACTATCACCTTCTCACTCTATCATAATATATCCTAACTAGTAGCTAACCCGTGCGATGCACGGACTGAACGTATTTGTTTTAAAATATTTTTACTTTATAAAATTTAGTTAAATTATTTATATTTTTGAATATGTAAAATATTTAAAATAATCGTTAAATTAGAGAAAAAAAGAAGAAGCAATAATTTAAAATTTAAACAATAATTCTAATTATTTATTTTAATAATTTTAGTTGTATCGTTCCATAAACGCGTTATTTAAATCAACACATATACTAATTTTAAATAAATTATTTATGTGTATTTTAATAATTTTAGCTCTATCGTGTTATATAAATGCAATTTACATAAATATATATAATAAATTTCATAAAAATAAATATTTTTAATATTTAATTTTTTCAAAAAAAAAGTGAAAAAGTAGAATAAAATTAATTGGTAAAATATTTTTAGTATGTATAATTCTATGAAGTTTTGTTTATGGGTAATTAGATTAAATATAAGTCTTTTAAATATTAAATTTTAGAAAGAATTTCGGTAAGGGTATTAGTCTGGAATTTTAATTAAACAAAAAAGGAAAAGAAAAAAAGGGAGACACCATAGGAGAGGGGAAAAAAATTTAAATGTAAACAATATTTTATTTATTTATTTTGGTAATCTTAGTCCTATCGTTTAATAAAAGTCTTATTTAAATCAACACATATAATAATTGTAAATAAATTATTTGTATATATTTTAATAATTTTAGCTTTATTGTACTATAAAAATATAAATTAAATAAATATATATAATATATTAAATTATAACATAAAAAAAGAAACATTCATTTGATAATTTTAACCTTTCGTGTTACAAAAAATGTAACTTAAATAAATATATATAATAAATTTATATGATATTAAATTATAACTTGATATTAGAAATAATTGTTATAAAATTAAAAGTGATTCTAATTATTTAAAAAATTCAATATAATTAATATTATAAATAAGATAGACATAAAAAATAAGAAATAATTTTAATATTTTATTTAAAAAAAAGTGAAAAAAAGTATAATAAAATTAATTGATAAAGTACTTTTAGTATGTATAATTTTATTAGGTTTTGTTTATGGGTAATGTTGCATATTGTCATTATGGTGTCACACCATCTCTAGATTCTTGTGCTAAGATCTAGATCTAATTCAAAATCTATACGCTATAAACTTTGGGCTACTGTGATAGATTAACTGCAGCCTATATAAAAATGTTAATTTTCATTAATTTTATCTTATAAACATGACCAATAATATTATAACATTTACAACATGATACGAATTCCAAAACTGTCGTTGAAAATTATCTGTACAAAGAATCAACTTTATCGGATATTGATGAATACAAAAGCAAATCACTATTTATTTTATAGAATGAAATGTTTAAATTTAAACTCACAATTATTATCTATTTTAAAAAATAAGATATATTTTTTTATATATCTAGTGATATTTGATAAAACTATTGTTTTGTATAACTCATCTAAATTGTTGGGATTATAAGATGAATAGTTTGGATTATTAATGTTAATCTATAACGGAGTCAAAAAATAAAATATGAATATGAGCCATTCCCTTCACCGGTTAAAATAGTAAATTCACTAATTGTTTGCGTCGTTTCAGGAAACAATTGGACTAGTATTTTTCAAGGGTAATGTTAGAGATAAATTTTTTATTAAATAAATGACCAAATGTCTCACATGGGTGTAGGATCCACAAAAGTGTAGGGTCTATACCCATATGAAACAATTAATCATTTATTTGATAAAAAATTTAAGACGGATAACATTTTCTAATCATATGAAATAATGTTCCAACCGCACCAAATAATCTCTCTCCTCTGTCTCCTTTTGTATATATGAAGTGTGTTAGGATTACAGCAGCAATTC